AATAAATAGGATTAATAAAATAAATCAGCAAAAAAATCATATTACAGACCTGCTTTATCAAAATTTTGCATTAGCATTATTAAGATACTGAGATAGATTAGAGCTTATATTTTTGTTATAACATTTTATATGTTTTCTCTTAATAAATGATGAGCAAGATCGCCTAAGTAAAAAAAAAAAAAAAAAATATATAAAGCTAGTTAGTTTTAAACCAAATCTATTAAAACAGTCTATACCTATTTTATAGATTTATTAAGATTAAATACTTATAGATATTCATATAATTCTAGGTTCTACTATAGTCTTCTAGCAATAAGTAAATCTGTATCTAGTTAAATCATATAACAATAATCAAATGATTTTTTACATATGATATTTGATGATAATCTTGCAAACTCAACCAATTAAAAACTTCAATTTAATTATTAATATCTTCTATAAATTAAATTATTTTTAAACTTTAAATAAAGATATATTAACAATAATATGATTAAATTAGATAAAAATTTTTTTAATCAAATTCTATTATTATAAAAAATTAAAATAAAAAAAATTTTATCTAATTTAATTAGCTAGTTGTTGAGATAAATTTGCTTAAAGTTAATAAACAACTTGAATATCTTTAAAATTAAAACTAGATTATATTTTCTTTTAAATTTTAAATAAAATTGTTTCAATAACTACTTAATTAAACTTAATGAAATTTTTTTATTTTAATTCTTTTTAATTTTTTAATTTGAATAAAAAAATTTTCATCTAATTTGATTAGATAGTTGTCAAATTATCTTCAGTTAAACTTTAAAAAACTCAACTTGCCTATCAAAATAAAACTACACTAAATTTTTTTTCTAAACTTTGGATAAAGATTTTTTGACAACTATCTAATCAAATTTAATGAAATTTTATTTTTCAACTCTTTGAAACAGTAGAATTTGAATTAAAAAAAAAAAATTTATTGAATTTGATTAGGTAGTTGTTAAGATACCTTCGTTCAAAGTTTTTAAAAAACTTAAAAAAACGTCTATTAAAATAAAAGTTGTGCTAAATTTTTTCTAAACTTTGAACGAAGATATCTCGACAACCGTCTGATCAAATTCGATGAAAATTTTTTTATTCGAATTAAAAAATTAAAGAGAATTAAAATAAAAAAATTTTCATCGAGTTTAATTAGATGGTTGTTGAGATAACTTCGTTCAAAGTTTGAAAGAAAATGTGATCTAGTTAAAATTTTAAAAACATTCGAGTTGTTTACTAACTTTGAGCAAATTTATCTCAACAACCAGCTAATTAAATTAGATGAAATTTTTTTTATTTTAATTCTCTGTAACAGTAGAATTCGATTAAAAAGATTTTTATCTAATTTAATCATGTTGTCGAAATATCTTCGCTCAAAGTTTAAAAATATTCTAATTTACAGGAGGTATTAATAGTAAAATTGTGGTTTCTAATTCTGTAATTGATTGAGTTTGCAAGATCATCATCGAACATCACATGTAGAAAATTATTTGATTATAGTCACATGACCTAACCGGGCACAGATTCACCTATTGCTTGAAATACTGGCTAAACTTCCGTAATGCCGGTACTTTACCTATCACATCAGAAAATTACGCGAAATGTGTAATTTTCGTAACACAACCCTATCCATGACGGAGTTTTGAGAATCAACGTAGTGAAATGCTAGAACATTTATACAACCAATATACAAAAGATTTTGTTGCTAATTTATTAATTTATTTATTTCGCATTCATAAATTCAATATGATTATTAAACACGTCTGCGTTTTTGCGACTTTAAATTTTTTTTAGCTTTCTGAAATTTATTTTTTCTTTTTTTCTTTTGTGGAAAATCATCTAATAAGCCGTTAAATGTTTCTTGTTTATCACGTCTTATGTGTTCATGAGATTGAGATAAAGAATCCTTTAATTGTTATTCAACAAGTGCAGATGAAGTAAAAAAAAAAAAAAAAAAAAAGTTAGAATGTGTGCTTTTACATTTTTTCAGAATTATCAAAGTTAAAAATTAATTTTCATACCTCATCATCTGATACTCTATATTTTTCTTTACGAGCATTACGTCTGGCTAAAACATTCATTTTCTGTCCCTCAAAAGAATCAACATCTTCTTGGATTGTCGCTAGACTGTTAAAATCATTAAAATTCTAAAGGTATATATTGAAAGAAAAAACAAAAATTAACAAAAATCAATGATTGATTAATTAAACTTATGAAAAGCAATAAAATGAAACATAGAATTACCTCAAACTCATTCTCGAATTTTTTCGAACTACTTAATTTTTTAAGTTCCTTCTTTGGAATCGATAACCTGATAAAATTTTCTTCTTCATAACGATTACGTTCAGCAAGTTTTTCTTCAATTCGCTTATCATGTATTAGTTCTTCGCGTACACCACCAGTTACATCAATTTCTTCTGGTTTATCGTCATATTCTGCGATAAGATCCTTCATTATACGTGATTTCGATGCTCTAGCAATAAGACGTGATTGTTCCTTTTCACGTACAGAATTACTCCCTAGTTAACGGAATTATTATTATTGTGAGACAAATCCATAAAAAAAATATATTTACATCATTTACACAGGTATTGCTTTTTTACCTTCATCAAAATGTACAGGAGCTAACTTTGGTGCCTTATATATTTCAACCTTATCATCTTTTAAGATATAAATAGTGTTATCATATATATGTGATAAAAATGTAGTATATAGTATTCTTTTTGATTACCTTTTTCGTTCTTATCATCAACTTTTGATACAAAATCTTGTGGATTTGGCTTAAATGATAGAGGATCAGCTATTGTAACTTTTATAAAAAAAAAGTTAATAAACATGTTCGATACGTAAAATATATGAAAAAGAAAAATTATTTTCATCATACTATTGTTAGTTATTAAATTAGAATTTTTCTCTTCAATATTTTCAATTGTTGCAGCTCTTATTAATTTATCAATTTGATACTTTAATTTTTGCTCAACAGGTTTAATCTTTTCCAAAATTATTCTTAACTCTACCAGATTTGAAATGACAGGATGATTAGATATTGATTTTCCATCCAATTTCAAGTGAATTAAAAATGTTAAGTTTGTAATATATTGAAGGAGTGTATGATATTTAATATCAAGTAAAGATATGCCGCAATTGGTTTTCAATGATTGATTATTAACTCTTTTTTTTTTGAATAAAAATTTATTATTAATTTATTTTTGTATAAACATAATGCATATAATTAATTTTCTCACTTGTTTGTTGTAATGCAAATTTGTTCTTTTATTTCTTTAGCTTTAATTTTTAATTCATTTATTAGCTTTAAAAAATCCGGAATTTCTTTAGTTTGGAAATTATTTTCCTCGATGATTTCCATTTTAATTTTTCAAAAAAAAAAAAAAAGTATCGAGGATCACAGATATGACATATAAAATATATATAAAAGGTAGGTAAAGAATGCTGGATATTGTGACGAATTGGGTAATAATACAAATAAAATGGTGATCGATAATATCTTAATATGGAGGTTCCAAATTCGTCACAGTACCCACGTTCAATAATTCCCTTTAATCGCATTTCATTATTTCATTCAACCTGCGGATCACTATTCTCAACCGTCATAAAAACTTCATATCTGCGCAATAACTAACAATGAAAAAAAAATCTTGCAACAATGATAAAATCAACACCGTTCATGATAGAAAATGGTATTTCTGTTTCGGATTCGCTTAAGCCGTCCCTGGCAATATTTTCTGGTGGAACTGCCTGCAATTTAATGGTAAGCCATTACAATATATATCAATAAAATTTGAACTCGGTATATAAGTACTTACGATTTGGTTTTTGAAGGTTAATATTCTTCGAGATATTACCGCAGACGTGAGTTATATCCTTGGATTAAGCGATAACGGCGGTTCAACTAGTGAAATATTACGTGTTTTAGGTGGACCAGCAATCGGAGATATTAGAAGCAGGTTAATCAAACTAATTAAAGTTAATAAAGGGGAACATGAAAAAGCAGCCATAAAAAAGCTGCTTGATTATCGGTTGCCTATCGAAGGAAATGAGTCGGACATAAAGAATGAATGGCTAGAAATAGTTGAAGGCACACATAAGTATATATATATTTTTTTTTATGTATTTTATTTTGTCAATATTATGTTTTCACGATACATATATATATCTACTTATTTAAAGATTATGGAAAGGTATTTCTTCGGAAAAAAAGGGAGCTATACGCGGATTCTTGGTACATTTTCAAACAGAAATTATAAGACGAGCACACAAGAAATTCAACTTTCGCAATGGTAGTATTGGTAACTTCTTTCTTACTGGTGCACGAATATTTTGTGGATCTTTAGAGAGTGCAATCTTTATATTTGCTGCAATAACGGGAGTCAATGAGCCAACAAGGGTTATCCCAATAATGAATACTAATCATAGCGTGGCTATTGCTGCGGAACTTGATAATGGACATACAATAATTGGTCAATGTGAAATTTCACATCCATCACAAGAACCACAAGATGCGACTTCAAATATTAGTAATAAACATTCACCTACTACAATGATTATCTCGAAAAATAATAATCTTATTTTCGACAAATCCAAGATAATTGTATTGAATCGGCGAATTAATAGGATCTATTACATTAACGAGTATGGGCAGGAGATATTCCCTTCCGTAAATACGAAAGTACTTAAAAGCCTTTCAACAAAATCTGCTCTCATTTATTCTATTGGCTCTTTATATACTTCCATTATGCCTTGCCTAATTCTACGTGGGGTTGGTAAGGAAATAGCTGAATCTAGTACATTAAAACGCAAGATTCTGATTCTTAATGGTTCTAATGATCGTGAAACTGATAAATTCACAGCTTTAGATTTTATAATTGCCATTGTAAATGGATGTAATTCTTCGTTGAGATTTAGTGGATTTTTGCCTAAAGAGTACTCTGCAAATAAATATATAACACATCTAATTTACTTGGATAATTCACTGGTGAAGGTTAATGTATCAGAAATTGAACAATTAGGAATAGAATGTGTAAAGGTAGAGGGCATAATTCAAGATGGGAAACCTGTATTTACCGAGGAAACTCTTGAAGATGCTTTAAATAATCTTATCAGATAGCTTTAGTTATTATATATATCTATACGGCATTTTTGGTACTGTACACTTATTCTACGAACATTATCTTTATGAATAAATTGAATTACTTTTACACGCAAAATATATAAAAAATAATATATTTGAGTCTGATCATAGAAAACAATTAAAAATAATAATAACTAGCTTCTAATGCTTAGAATAAATTTAAGACTATAAAAACATTTAATTTTATAAAAATTAAACAGTCTTCTTAGCTTACTTTTTGTTTATTTTATTTTAACTAGAGATGAGATTTCATATACATTTATCCCATCAAAATTTTGTATAGAACAATTATAAGCTTCAAGATTTAAATTTCAATACAGTTTTATCCTCATTTATTAATGAATATCATTAAGAATTTCTTTTATCTTTTGTTATCTTAGTGCTGCCTTTTTTTTGCATGAAACAATTCGTACATTGATGCAAATTCATGTGTATGTTCCATCTCTAATTTTAAGTTTTTTAGATTTCTTTCAAATCTAATTCTTGTTTGAATTCAATATTCTGTTTGAAAAGAATTTATTGAAATTTAAAAAATTATAAACATTATCATAATGATTCGATCTATAAATAAAAAATTTATTGAAGACTATTTCTATGTACTGTACGTACGAAGCAAAATTTTAAGTCTTCCATGATCAAACCTATAATAAAT